CAACATACTCCACAGTAATCTCCTTAATTTTCTTTATATTTTCTACTTTAGCATTTGAGAAAATTAAGATGTCGTCGGCATAGAGTAAATGAGAGATCCTGAGAGCCAATGGAGCAACTTTTAAACCCAAATTTCTTCCTTTGGCGGTAAAAGCTTTAGTGAGTAATTGAGAGCAGAGAATGAAAAGATAAGGGGATAAAGGGCACCCCTATCTAAATCCGTTTTTCCCTACAATTCTTTCCAAGACCTCACCACTAATTTGAGCCAAGAAAATAGGATCAGTGACACAATCCATTAATAGATTAGAAAATTTACTTGGAAAGCCAAAGAAAACCAAGATTTGTTTGAGAGTATCCCAAGCCATACTATCGTATGCTTGTTCCATATCAAGTTTTTCTACCACCATTCCTCTTTTAGATTTAGAAAGCCTGAATTTGTGGAAAATTTCTTGGGAAAGTAGCATGTGATCAGATAAAGCCCTACCTTTTATGAATGCTACTTGTTCTTCAGACATAAGGCTATGAATGACTTTCATTAATCTATTTAAAAGGATTTTAGCCACTATCTTATAGAAAGACATACAGAGACTAATAGGCCTAAAATTGGAAGGAGAAAGAGGGTTGCTTGCTTTGGGTAAAAGAATTACCAAAGTTTCCTTCCAATAAGATGACATTTTTCCTCTAGAGAAGCAAAGTTGAATGGCTTTCCACACATCCCTCCTTATTATATCCCAATAAGCTTTGAAAAAAGAGTAGGTGATCCCATCTATTCCAGGAGCAATATTGTTGTCTAGCTCTTTTATCACTATCTCCAACTCTTCTTTAGAAAATTCAGCCTCTAGTAATTCACAATCTTCTTGGTTCAAGTTGTTTTCAAAATCTGGCCAATTTGTCAATTTACAGCCTCTATGTTTCCATTTTTCCTTAAAAAACTGAGTAAAACAGTCTTTTAAAATGGCTGGATCTTCAATCAAATCACCAACCTCATTCTTGAGTTGTCTTATATACTTGGTATTCCTTCTTCCATTTGCAACAGCATGAAAGAATGAGGAGTTGAAATCACCTTCTTTCAACCATTTAGCTTTAGCCCTTTGTCTCCACCATGTATTTAATCTAGCAAGAGTAGAATTAAATTCAGAAATTTTGTTTCTAAGGATCAAACTTTTGCTGGCTGGAAAAATCTGCTCCAAAGCTTCTTCAACCTGTAATTCCTCAATTTCCATTTTCAAATTCTTCTTTAAAACTTCAAGTTTTTGGTGTTTTGCCTTACTAAAAAAAAATAAGGCTTTAATACTCTATTCATCCTTTTGTTTAGAGCTTCCATATCATTTCCTCTCACCGGTTTAGCCCAGGATTTGCTGACCACCGAAGTGGCTACTGCATAAGACAGCCAAATGTCTTCAAATCTTTGAATTCTATTGCCATTAGGAGGTTGATTAAATAGTTTCAAAACAATGGGGCAATGGTCGGAGTCGATTCTATTCAGATGCCTTATAGAAGCATGATTGCTAAGATTCATTGCTTTAGAATTTAGAATGCATCTATCATGCCTTTCTAGTATTTATGCACTCCCAATTTTATTATTACACCATGTAAATTTGGAACCAAGAATGCTTACATCATGTAAGTCATTCCTACTCATAAAGGATTTCATCTCCATTGGCCCGCCTGAGAATTAAAATTTTTTCCCTCCTTTCTTCTCATCTTGAGAGATGATACAATTGAAGTCTCCTCCAGGTACAAAGGGAATTTCTTGATCTACAGCTTCATCTAAAATTCTCCACAATTCTCTTCTACCTTGGACATTCCTGCTACCATAGATTGTAGCAACTTTCCATTTACCCTTGTTGAAAATTTCCAGTTCACCGACCATATATTGATCCGAAGAATCAGTCAGAGAAAAATCCTCTACAATAGAATTCCAGATAACCATTATTCCACCAGAATTTCCTCTGGATGGATGAAGTATGAAAAATTCCAATCTTTTCCCATCATCTTACCAAAGTCTTCCTTAGAAAGAGAAGTCAATTTTGTTTCAACTATACCTACAAATAATACATCCCATTCTTTTATAAAATCTTTCAAATAAAGGGAGGCCTCCTTCTTATTAGCCCCACTACCATTCAAAAAACTGATGGAATTCATTTTGACTTGAATGGGGAGATTCCCCACCCTTGGTCTTGATAACACTGTTTCTAGTTTGTCTTGACATTGAATTTAGGATCCCCAAGAACTTTATTTCTTTGGCTAGCTTAATCTTCTGAGAGGTTGGTTTTCCTATGTTCACCGAGCTGTTAGTTCCATGTAGAGATTCGCTGTTAATATCAGTAGTATTTTGAGCAATAGTAGGATCCACTTTCTTATGAAATTTTTCCTTCATCACTTAAATTTCACCTTCTTCTATTTCGTTCATCAATTGTTCCGCTTGAAAATTTGCACCAACGTCATCTTCACGTAAATCATTTAATAGCTCAAACTTATTACACTGGAAACATTCAGTTTTGGATCTGCCTCATGATTTCCTCCCGGACTTCTCTGTTCTGATAAAACTGCAGTATGGACTGTGTTAAATACAGCACCTAAATCCAATACAACATCTCCAGAATTACGAATTTCAACTTGATTGATTTTAGTAAAAGAATTATTTACAATTCCTCCTTGATCTGGAAGCAACCCCCTCTTGCTCTGAAGATAAATTCTGAATTTTGAGATCTGAAAACTGATAGGGAGTACTCGAGTTTGCAGATAATCCCTTAGGATATACCTGAGTTAGCAAGCAACCCTTCCCATTAATATTATCTGAAGCAATAAGAATAGGTTCTGAGCTAACACAATTGTTCTTTACCAACATATTCTGTTCCAACTGAACATTAATGTGATTAGTATGCTCCACTGTAACTTCATTCACAAGGACTTTACCTCCATCAAGCCGGGAATCTGAAACATTTGGCCTCCCTGGGAGTTCATTATTCCCTAAGCCAACTGTCTTAGTAATTTTGTTAACTACCTCAGCAGATTTTGAAACTATATTCTTCCTTACATATCTGAAGGTCTCAGGAATCTTCGGCTTGTTCATTTGCTTGAAGATTTTCTTTTTTTTTTATTGTTAACAAAAATCCACGGCCCATAGGTGGGATCTTTTTAAACTTCATGAACCTCTACATCAATTTTCCTTACAGCACCATCTCCTTCTTTCTCCGAGCTATTAAGGGTTTTATTTAAATGGACGCATTCCTTATCAAAATGACCAATTTTTGCACATACAAAGCAAAAGTTTGAAACTTTTTCATATTCCACTTTTTGAAAGAACCTTCCACCCATGCTATCAACCCAAACTCCTAGTGAAAGAGGTTGATCAAGTTTGACCCTCACACAGACTCTTACAAATTCTTTTCTTCCCCAATGAAACATATTTCCATCTAGCATGATTGGTTTACCAATTCTAGAAGAGATGCAAGCCACATTTTTCTCATCCCAACATTGCAAGGGCAAGTTTGGCATTCTAATCCAAATAGGGGAAGTAAGTCCTTTAATTGTTGAAGAGTTAAATTCCGGAGTCCATTTTTCCATACGGACGATGTGTTCATTCACAAACCAAGGCCCCCCTGAGTTGACATCTTCTACCATTTCCGCCAAAGAGAAAGAGCACAAAAACCAACCTTTACCCAAAGTAGTGAAATGAAATTGTCCAAATTGCCTCCATTGCTTTCTTAATTCCCATGCCACTATGTTGGAAGGTAAATCTCTTCCAAAGACCTTAATTACCAGAGATTTTGATAGTCTTTTAGAATTTTCCTCCTCCAATTCCAAATTAAGTTTAACAGCCATGCCATCTTCCGATAACAATACCTCTTCATCTTTGAAATCCAACTTAATGAAAGGCTTATTACTCCAAGGATTAACTTGATCTGATGCATTTGACTTAGGCATAACATCAATCATCTTGGCTACATCTGATACTTTATCATTAATATTAGAATGTAGATTGTCATTAACCATTTTTAGAGAAGTCTCATTTATCACGCTGCGACAAGGTCCAGGGATTGCATTCGAATTCACGAATCGGTTAACGAAGATCTTCATTCCATAAGTAGATGCATTAACATCAGATGTAACTTAAGATGATTTCAAGTTGATGGGAGTCTCTGTATCCACCGTCTGAACTATTCCTTTGCCTTTACCCTCCACACACTTGATCAGCTTTAGAGAAGGAAAAGAGTTTTCCTTGATCACCAAAGCTCCCTGGTGATTCACTCCGAGCGATTGAATTCATTTATTTGAATCCAAATTTGTTGAATCATCAACATTCTCCATGTTTTTCAATTTTCCTGCAACCAATAGAGAATTCGAAGACAAAGGTAGAGTATCGAATTCCAAAAACTGACCTCATCGGACATTATTGATGACGCTTCTCATCTTCAAATCCTCAGGTGTAGACCTTTGATCAACTTTGGGAGGATCGCCAGCAGAATGTCGGCGATCATCCTCTTCCATTTAGTGAAACCGGACGTTACCTCCAAATGAAAATTCAAAATTCAAATTTTCTCTCTCTAGAAAACTCAGACTCTCTCTCTCTGAGAATCACCAATAACCCCTTTTTAGATTTCATTTCTAAATTTGAGGCTTCATTTCCTTAAAGCTTTCATTTGATGAGCTGGAACTTATAAACAACTTTTCTGGTAAAATAATTGCTAGTATGGCCTTGTGTTTGAACGCGAAAGCTCCAGTTTATTTATAGAATTGAAAATGTTTGAAGACTATAAAATTGTATCCTTAGATTGACTATTTATGGTGGCGCCTCTTGAGGAATGCAATTCCTAATACAAACTTCTTGATGTACAGGAGATTGTTGAAATACAATCATAGTCCAAGAGGGTGTGAGGCAATAGTAGATGTGGAGCACATTGTAGTCAATTGTTCATAGTTAATCCAAGCTATTGCCTTGATGAATAAATGGGGCATTCTTATTCCAATTTTTCTTCATTGCTTGATTGTTTGGATAAATTGGGAAGGTTAGTGAAAGTTAATCCTTTTATTTCTAATTTTTATTGTTCTTTGGTATTTTATTCATGGAATAGTAGAAATAAACTTATACATAATAGTCAGGAGCTCAGGTTAGGCTTGATTGTATCTAATGCTATTAGCTTTGCATCAATCTCATCAAAGTTTAATATGTTTTCAGACCACTGGGTGCTAACAAGCCTATACAGCTGATTTCCTATTTTTGGCATCCCCCTCTACCCGAATGGATTAAAATCAACATTGATACAACTTTGCTTTATTTTAGTGAAGCTGGAGTAGGTGGTGTTTTTAGAGACCATAGAGGAAGACTTCTTTTGTCTTTAAGGTGATAATGTACTTCCCTGACTAAAATTGCTTCTAGCATCAATCCACTTAGAACCAACCCCATTAACTTGTATTAAAAACAAAGGGTCATTCACACATTTCATCAAAAGGTTAGAAAATTTCTTTGTGAATCTAAAATAATCAAAAACTTGCCTAAGAGTATCCCAAGCCATGCTATCATATGCTTGTTACATGTCCACTTTAATTGCAACCAAACCTTTTTTAGATTTAAAAAAACTAAATTTACAGAAAAGTTGTTGGGCAAGAAGAACATGATCCGATAAAGTCCTCCCTTTGATAAAAGCACCTTGAACATCGAAAACCAAATAATGAATAACCTTTAATAATCTATTCAAAGAACATTGGAAACAATTTTATAAATGGAAAGGAAAAGTCTAATAGGATGAAAGTTGGAAGGAACTAAAGGAATGCTAATTTTTTAAATAAGAATTACTATAGTCTCCAACTACTTAGAGCACATCTTACCCAAAGATAAGAAGAGGCGAATAGCATTCTAAACATCTATGCCAATCATCTTCTAAAAAGCTTTGATGAATTATTAAGAGATACCATCAGCACCAGGAGAAATATTTTTCCCAAGATCTTTAACCACAACCTCAATTTCTTCTAACAAGAAATCAAACTTAAGGATATCACAATCCCCTTGACTTAAAGAGTTCAGATTAGATGGCCAACCCCTCAAACAACAATCTCTAGACATCCACTAGTTATTAAAGATTTAAAATATATATATTTCTTTGATAACTTTAGGATCCTCCACAAGAGTGCCTTGGTTCAGGTGTTTGCATTGGGATATTGATTATTTGGAGTTGTTCGCTTTTTGTTCATTAAAAAAGATTATCAAAGAATGGATGTTTCATGCTAAAGGTATCATAATAAAGGGAGACAACTTGAATATTATAAAATATTTACAAGACTCGATTGACAAAGATGTTTGTTCAATTCATAAAGATATGCTGGAGTACTTCTCTTTTCTAAAGGATTTTGGAAATTTTTTATTTCATTTTGCAAATAGAGAATGTAATAATTTAGCCAATTTTTGTACTAACTTTGCTTTAAATAATGATTTTTATGGGAAGATTTGGATTGTAATAAGTTTCCTCCTAATTTCTTTTCATTGTTAAAGGAAGACTGTGATAGGCTTTCTATCACTTAGTAGTTTGTATTAGGTTTTTTCATCTTAATGCAGTTTGCAATTCTTCAAAAAAAAATTGAACATAGGAACTCATTGGTGTACTTTTTAGTTTAACTTTATCTAGTTCATACTTCTTAAAGATGTACTTAATATATTTTGACTGATTAAGAAATGTGCCATTGTCTTTCTAATTTATAATAAAACCAAAAATGTAACTCAAGTTTCCCATTAAATTCATTTCAATATCATCACTCATTATTTTCTAAAAATCATCACAAAGATTTTTATTAGTGGATCTAAGCAAGATATCATCAATATAAATTTAAATAGTGAGAATGTCACATCCTACTTTTTTTAAGAAGAGAGTGGTGTCCATGCTCCCTTTAACAAAAGATCTTTCTAGAAGGAATGTATTTATCCTTTCTTACTATTCCTTAGGTGCCAATTTTAGTCCATACAATGTCTTCTTTAATATAAAGATATGATTAGGGAATTATGAATTTTCAAAACCTGGAGGTTGCTCAACATAAACAACCATATTTATCACCCCATTAAGAAAGGCAGTTTTAACATCCATTTGATATAATTTAAAAACTTTAAAGCAAGCAAAGGTTAGAAGCACCCATATTGCTTCAAGTCTAGCTATAGGGGTAGAAGTCTCCTCAAAATTAATTCCTTCTTTTTAATTATACCCCTTGGTCCCAAATCATGCCTTTTTTCTAACCACTACACCTAATTCATTCATCTTATTTTTGGAAACCCACATAGTTCCAACAATACTTTAATTTTTATGTCTTTCTACAAACTCCCAAAATCATTTCTAACAAACTGATTGAACTATTTTTAAATAACTAGAATAAAAAATTCATCAAAAAGTGCTTCATTTGTATTAGTGGGTTAAATCATTGAATTAAATCATGAATGATTCACTTCTTTGTTCAGTCCATGCCTAATTCTAATCCCTTCACTCAGGTCTCCTAAAATAAACTCTTTAGGATTACTTTTAGAATATTTTCATTCTCTAGGCAAAGTATTTTCTATTCCAACCTTTTCTTCAAGTTTTTCATTTTTCAATTCCTTTTGAAATTTCTTCAACTTGTTATTCTTCCATTCTAGACTCTCCAGAAATATCATATTCATTAAAAACTACATGAGTGGTCTGCTCTACTACCAATGTCCTTTTGTTAAAAACTCTATTGAATTTCCCAATAATTGAATATCCTAGAAAAATTTCCTCATCAGATTTAGGATCAAATTTCCTAAAAGAGTTTCAGCATTGTTATGAATGAATACTTTACATCTAAAGACATATAGGTGTAAGAGGTTGGGTTTACTACCCATAAAGTGTTTATAGGGTTTCTTATTCAACTTATATCTAATATTCATCCTATTCAAAACATAAAACACTATTTTAATCGCTTCAGCCTAAAATATTTAGGAAGTGAATATTCAACCAACATGACTCTACCAACTTCTACCAAAGTTCTATTCTTTCTTTCAATAATTCCATTTTTTTTAGGGGTCCTAGGAGCTAAAAAGTTGTGATATATCTCTTGCACTTTGCAAAAAAATTTCATAGTTTTTATTTTTAAATTATCCATCATGGTCACTATGAATTGCAAAAAAAATCACAACCTAGCTTCCTTTAAATCTGATTAGAAAAATTTTTGAACTCATCAAATGACTCACTCTTCTGTGATAAGAATCTAATCGAATTGATCATTGAATAATCATACATAATTATATACCAAAATACTTTATGTCCTACAGTTATAGTGCTAACATGTCCAAAAAGATCCATGTGAAGGACTTCTAAGGGTTTGTTAGTTCAAACTTCTTTAATTGAATGAAAGGAGAACTTGACTTATTTTTCTAATTAACACGCATCACACATGTAATCCTTAATGAAGTATAATTTGGGTATGCCTCTTACCAATTCATTCGGAGTAATCTTCCAAAGATTTTTATGCATGCATGGCAAAGACTTCTATGCGATAACCAAGATTTATGAGTACTAGTTTTTAAACAAAAAGCATTACAAGATTAAATGCAATTTAAATCAAGCATGCAAACATTGTTTACCCTATCTCCATGTAATACATCAACTCCATTTTGGCTTATAATACAACTTGTAGAAAAAACATTTATGTTAAACCCCTTATTACAAAGCTGACTAATACTGAGCAAATTATATTTTAATCCTTCTACCAATAAAATATTTTTATCAAAAAATTATTTATGTTACCAATCATTCCTGACCCTACCACTCTTCTAGTGGTGTTATCTCCAAGTGTCACTTTGCCTCCAATCCCGACCTCCAACAATATAAATGAATTTGTATCTCTAGTCATATATTTTGTATATCCACTATCCATGTACCAATTTCTCTCATGATGGCCTGTATGAGAGCCTTTCTAAAAAAAAAAAAAATATTAGACTTGGAAATCAAAATAAATTTGGGTTCACCTCTTGATAATGATAATCTTGATGCATATTTGATATGCTGTGATTAATGCACTTAAGTCTCCACACTAAATGTGCTCTATTTTGAATAGTACAAGGGTGGGAAATATGCCCCAAC